TAATCACCTAACTCTTCTACCTTGCCTTTGATGGGAGACACTTTATTGATGAAAGTGCAACCCGTCCCAAGCCAAGGAAGTACACCTGTTCCGAATTGCTCACATCTCGCCCTTTCATTCTCTTGGCTGGTGATCTAGGAATCTCGCATGATGTTCTTGACGATGACCCTCCACATGTTTCAGTCTCTGACTGCGTTCTCTATTGCAACCATTCCCACACCACCACACGATGCATCCGCAGTTCCGCATGCGACCAGAAGGGCACCCCGGCGAGACAAATCCCACAGCTTCGAAGGTCTCCCGGAGGCCTGGAAGCACCCGCAGGTCTCCCAGCGCGGGCTTCGGAAGCACCGGCCTTCTGCACAATGTGCTTGATGTGATCACGACCTACTAGTAACAAGAAGCTACTAGTAACAAGTGCATTGCTACTAGTAGCTACAAGCTACTAGTAGCGATGCACTTGTTACTAGGTTACTAGTAGCTTCTTGTTACTAGTAGTAATGCACTCGTTACTAGTAGCACGGTAAATCTTTGAAGATTTGGATGTGACCATGTCCACCATCAAGGATCAAGGCTGGTGTGCTTTGGAAGCAAATGAAGACTGGCTAAGACTGGCAGGGCCAAGTCTCAAGCTGAGTATATATATATATATACATAGCCACACTATGCCACGCATAGTCTCAAGGCATATTATCTCTGCCATCCTCTTCCCCCGACGGCTCACCTGAGTCAGTGAGGAACACCGCCAGAGTGCCTGGCAGCTCGCGAGACGGCTCGAGAAGTGGCACATCTTCGTGCACCCCGAACCCCAGCAGCTCTCGGATGGATTCTGAGAATTCTGAGATGATCTGATGGATCCCAAATCCCACCGAAGAAAAGAAAAGAAAAAGCAGCCCTCGAATTCAAGCAGAGCCTCCCGAGATCGAAGGCCACTGGCGACTCACTGGACGCACCGGACCCGTATCGACCCACGCCACTGGACGCACCGTCACCACGCACGTAGCGGTCTCCGCCCATCCAGTGGCCAGCACCGAAGCGCAGCCTGAGTGGGATGGAAGAAATTCTATCCCTCTGATGGTTTTGGGGTCGCCCTCAATGGGTCGCTCAAACCTCCCCATGACAACAAACAGGCTATAGTCCACAACCAACAAATTCCAAGTTTGGACCGGAGAAAATGAACAAAAACGTGCTGCTTGCAGCCCTGTGAGTCCTGAGAGGCAACCACTGTTCACGACTTAAAACAGGGCTTTGTGTGCTAAAGAGTCAGACCTCAGTATTCACCCAAGCAATACAGGAGTTCATTGAGAGTCACATCTCCAGCATCCTCCAGGCAAAAGCTTTGAGACCTGGGCCAGCCTGGGACTCAAAACCACGTCAGGTGTCCCAACTGTGCAAGGTCACCTCGACCGTAGTCGCGCACCATAACCATCTGGGCGCAGCTGGCACAGTGGTTTCCAAGGCTGAGAATTGACCCGTGACCTATCTGGGCAGGTCCAGAATACCTAGAATGCCTGATAACAGGCATTATGTGCTAGACCAAGTTGAAGAACGACAACACTCAAGAATACGACGAATGACGAGAAGACATCCCGACATTGGCGTTGTTTCTGGCAAATGATAAATTTAGAGTTTAGAGTGCCATGTTATTATGTCCGAAGAAATGTCGTAGCTTGGGCCTGTTCCTCTATGATGTTTGTCCTTCAAATGGTTCTGCCGTACCAATCAACGTCAACCCCCCACTGGTTGCATAGACAAGAACCCTCAAATCACATTTGCAGGCTGGCTGCTTGATTTCTTTGAATGTACACTGTAAAATGTAAACCTTTTGCCAGAACTTGAAGGTGTAGGGTCGAACCTATGCCTTGTGTTTTGCCTTGAAATCGATGATAGGTCTTCATCTTGCCACAATCCAATCTCCCTATGATTCTTCGAACCCTTCAAGTGAAAACGGGCTTCGCTCTTGGGGCGAGCCGACAAGATCGGTCCATGAACCGAGCCCACGAGATCGGCAAGGCGGTAGGGGGGTGAGGACGGTCCCACCCTGTAGGACGGACCGGTGAGGACGGACCTGAGGACCCGGGCTCCGCCGGGCTTGAGAACACTCAAGATCCGCTGCAAGGTCTGGCTGTGCCTGAATCAGCGGATTGACTTTGCTTGTCGAAGCCAAGCTGCGGGGGGAGGGGATGCTACTACATCTCTTATTCCCACAGCAACCTCAACAGGTTCAAGACCCGCGAGAAACATCTCACAGTGAGAAGTTCACATGAGTTTGGAACCTACTTTTCACTGCAGGGGCATCTCTGCGATCAAAAGTAATGACGACCACCTCTTTCAAACCCATGTGTGTGTGATGGATGACACTGGACACCATCGTTCTTGATGAAGATTGAAGATCGGGCACGAGTGGATGCCCCCCCCTTCACTGCCAGGTCACTGCTCCGGATCGATGGCACCTCAAGGCAGCTGCGTGGTGGAGAAACATCCGCTGGATTGAACCAGCCGAATCAGCCCATCCGAGGTGCCAGGGAGGACATCTCAAAATATCTCGACCCTGCATCTTCTTTGGTTGTTTTTGACCTTTCCAGCTGTCCCGGCTTGATGTTCTTCATGGGTGACCGGGAGTCAATGCCCTTCAACTTTTGGTTTCATGATGTTGTGCTTGCAACTCCTCCCCCCCAGCAGAAGCTATTTGTTGAAACGCATCTGATTGTCAGAAAGAGGACCCCGGCGCAATTCGAAGAAACAAATCGTGCTCAAACTGTACAAGGAGCATCAATTCTCTGTCTCTCACACGCTAGGCGCGCCGCGCGGATCGCTGAGCGCGGATCGCTGAGCATGGTTCTCGCGTGATTTCGAGCGGCTCATCTCTGGACTCCAGATCGAAAGTTGTCATGCAATTTATTAAAAATTGCAAAAGAAGACGTGGACAACGCTGCAAAGGAGAAGCACCAGTTCTATCATCGGTGTGCAACAGCCTTTCCTGAGCCACTACCTAACGTCGGTTTTTTCATCCCACTCTCAGCGCTTGCCATCGCGACGGTTGCGGTCGTTGTGGTCCTGGAGCTTTCAGCAGTTTCAGGGCGGACCTCTTGGAATCGTCGAATAAAAATTGACGAAAAATGAAAAAATAAATCGCTGAGGGTATTTATGTGTATATATATGTGTATAGCGACGGCGGACTAGATAGAAATATTTTTGACTCGGGGCAACATTGATTTTTGGACTTGTTTTTTTATTTTTTTGACTTATTTCTATCTTTAATTCGCGTGGTATTTACAGTGTTTTGAGAAATGTATGATTTTTATCTTGATTTTGCTGGTATTTACAGCACTTTGGGCACGTGGTGTTGATTTTCACTGGTATTTACAGCACTTTGGGCACGTGGTGTTGATTTTCACTGGCATTTACAGCACTTTGGGCACGTGGTGTTGATTTTCACTGGTATTTACAGCACTTTGGAACGGAAACCTTCGTATTCCTTGCTATTTGCAGCACTTTGGAAGGGTGTCTTTCATATTTCGCGCTATTTACAGCACTTTTTATCAACACGCATCAAAATCCATGATATATGCATGGAAATCTCAAAGATAGAAATGTAACCTTTTCAAAGCTATATTTCCTTAACGGGGGAGACAAAATGGACACACACACACACAACTTCAGATTTTGTATAAATCCGTGACTAAAACATGATCATTTTGAATACTTTTTGCATCGGAAGCACAGGTCCCCAGAGAAACACTTCTACAAGTAATTTTTCAACAACAACAACCTCCACATTCTTTGCTTTTTGCAGCACTTTGGAACACATGTCTTTCTGATTCCTTGCTGCTTGCATCATGTTGAAACAAACAACCTTCATATTCCTTGCTATTGGCAAGAAATTGGAAGGCATGACCTTCATGTTCTGTGGTATTTGCAGCACTTTGGAACGGAAACCTTCGTATTCCTTGCTATTTGCAGCACTTTGGAAGGGTGTCTTTCATATTTCGCGCTATTTACAGCACTTTTTATCAACACGCATCAAAATCCATGATATATGCATGGAAATCTCAAAGATAGAAATGTTTTGGGTGCTCGGTCGGGCGGTCTTTTTGTTAAATAAGTCACTTTCCCTGTGTTTTACAGGCAGATACTAAAAATAGAAATGTCAAAAGCTCATATTTCGCGCTATTTACAGCACTTTTTATCAACACGCATCAAAATCCAGGATATATGCATGGAAATCTCAAAGATAGAAATGTTTTGGGTGCTCGGTCGGGCGGTCCTTTTGTTAAATAAGTCACTTTCCCTGTGTTTTACAGGCAAATACCAAAGATAGAAATGTCAAAAGCTCGGTCGGCTATAGACCCTGGTTTTTGACTTTTTTGCATTTCTATCTAGTCTGCCGTCATTATATATATATATATGTATGTATCATTGCCGAAAAACGTCACAAGGATTCTTGGATTCTGGTGGATTCATTGGCCTTCTGTTACATGGCTAGCAGGTTGGAGTCTATCACTCTTAGGTTGGAGGCCATCGCTAGTAGGAAGACATGGCGTTATTCTATGTCTGGGCGGACTCATTGAGCCTTATGCTATCTTATGTTATATACATGTTTGTAAGTATTTGCATGTTTGCAGGCCCCAGGCCCCGTGAAGCCTACACTACTACAGGTACCCTGCATCAGAAGAACACGGCCTTTGCCGGAAAATGATACGTGTAATGTGTCTCGCATGGATGGGGCATTGCGGGATTCCCCAACCATGCAGGTCCATGCAGGCGAGTTGCACAAGCATCTCGCCCCCACTCCTAGATGTCTCTTATGTGAAAAAAACCATTAAAAAACGTGAATCATTCACTTGAAGGACGTTGCGCCATCGAGGCGCCGCCTTCATCAAGGCGCCCGTCAGCAACCCCACCGCCACCATGCCACCCACCGCCAGAGCTGTGAGGCCTGCCACCTGTGCGAGTGCGTTTTGGCGCGTTTTGGTGGGGCAATCCATGGGAACAAATGACCCAAGAAATGGCACCTTTCAGTGAGGGAGGATCCTTCAAAGAAAACATTGACAACTTGCAAAGAACTGGAATGGATGCTTGCCAGATCCAGTCAGTCTGTCCAATGCTGAAAGAGGTGGGGGTAGCTCCCTTCATCCCGGTTTCATCAGTGATTCTAGGGTCACTGATTCCATCCACCCATCTGACAGTCCCAGACCTTGCACCAATCCATCTCTTCCCAAGAGTCGTTTCGCTCACGGACCGGCACATGCTCCAGCACCTCTCGCAGCACCTCTCCGGATGGACGGATGGGCGTCGTTGCATCATCGACTCGCTTGTTGGCTCGGGCGTCGTGTTCATGGGATGCTCGTCACACCGACACCAGGGACCTAACCACTTCTCAGTGGCCCCAGGCCTCTGGTAACCAGTAGCTTAGTGAAGTCCCCACTGTCCATTCCAAGTGAAGCGGGTCCAAAAATGGGTCGAGAAATGGGGGCCTTGATCTTCCCGCCATTTTCTGACTTCCCCTTGGATGATTCTAGATATTGCGAGCATTGTCATGCGCCAAACAGTGCAGACTCACATGAAAGGATGAAGGCAGTTTCATGGATGTTTTGTTGGAGAAGCACACTTGTGCAAGGTATCCAAGCTCATTCAATTCCAATGCAGACATGGTGGGAGAAGAAAATAGACATGAGCTTCTGGATGGATCACAGTGCATGGCCCACAGTTCACGCGGGGAACTCCTCCAGCTCTTCGACTCCTCAACCCCTCACCTGGGCTCGCTGTGGCGTCACCCCCTTACCTGTTCGAGCCGCTTCGAACCCGTGCGCGTGCGCGTGCGCGTGCCCCGAACTTGGCTCTTTCGCCCACCAGACTTAAACTTCAGAAGAAAATGGTTCGAGTCAACTACTCCTGCGAGCAGAAAGTTGGCAGTTTAAGCCAGTGGAGCCACAAGTCCTTTGTTCCTAATTCGTTCGCCATGGTTGAGCAGCTTGATAAGGAACCTGTAACCTGTATGTGTTTGGTGCTGATGTATCAAAGAGGATTGGAGCTTGTTTCTGAGTTCTGCTGCAGCAGTTCACCAGTTTGACAAAATCCGCCGAAACACCCCGTATCGCCACCACTCCAGCTTGAAATCTAGAGATGAAGCTTCTTGTGTTTGCGCATTGATTCCTTTGCTCCATCTGGCCTAAAATGGTGAGGTCTGCATCCCATCTTGCGACTTGCTCAGTGAACCCTAGCAACTTTGACACAGCGTCTCGGCAAAAATCCCAAGATCAAAAAGAGAGAGTCAGAGTCGAGTCAACTGACAGGTTCTGCCAGTCGACAAGAGGCCCTTAAACTGCTGCCAGGCTTCAACCTGGGGGCTCTTGTAGAAATTCCTGGATTGGTCCTCAGAGGAATGGCTTTGGGCCAAGGACAGCACGGCAAGAACTCGACAAGCACTTGAACCATACCCTACCATTCTCTTGATTACCCATGGTGTTGCACCCATGTTTTGCTTTCACACCACACTGAAAGAACCTTGCAATCACTATCTATCTGCTTGAGTTCAACCATTCAAGAACTTCAAACATAAGTTTTGATTGCTCTTCAGACTGCGGTTCATGCAGATGACTGTAGCGCCTAGAGTAACTACGATCCATCACTCCCACCATGAGCAGTGGATCACAGAGGAGATCCTGACCCCAGTCGCAGAAAACGACGGAACGAGCGGCGACGCCGCAGCTGCAGTGGGCATCGGCATTCGGGGCAGTTCGGTTCCTGTCATCCACACAGTGCTCATACTGAGGAAGGCAGCCTACAAAACCACAAGTGCTAGTCACTAGTCACATAGTCTTCCACATACATGCATGGAAACGTTCGACAGGACGGATCGAAGTCGTCTCCTTTCGTGCCACTCTAGCGACTCAACACATGCACCGCAAGTTTCCTTCAATGCCCACCTAAGAAACATCAGTGACTGTGTTGGTTAGCCAGTCATGTCTTCGAAGCTTCTACCAGCAAGCAAAAGCACAGTGTGTCTTCGGCTTCTACCACAAGGGAGCCAAAAAGAACACCAAGCAAAAAGCCATACAGACAAACCAGACATCTGTTTGACTAAAAAATTCAAGGTCACACATCACGGGACCCATAACGGTCCAGGTTTTTGTATGTGTTCAAGTGCGTGATTTGCATGTTTGTATTCAATGGCTGCATACAGCAAAAATTGCGGGTGTTCTATTTGGGGTATTCTACCACTTTGGTATTAGTTCTACATAAGTTGGATTTTGTCTTCTGGTCTTTCACTTGCATGTTTTCAGTTCTGTGTGGTTCTCTGTGTTCTAATCGTCATGCACAATGCTAGGAGCAGCTCGGCCACGCACTTGTTTCAAGCTGTCATCACCGTCCCAACCCCAAAGGATGAAGAGTAGAATCAAACGCGCCATCGAACATGGAACATTTTGTACAGAGTCTCGCAACATGACATGAAAGGACATCAAACTCTGTCCTAAGTTCCACGACATATCATTAAAAGGATAATTTGAACAAAATCGTAATACCAAACTCATTTTACCCCGCCAAGAATACAAACGCAAAACCAAAAACGCGGACCAGTTCGTGCACCCCAAAAAACTGCACAAAGAAACCCAAAGAATTGCTGCGAATCGGTTCCAGAGAATTCTTACTTTTTGGAATGTACCACAACAGGCCTGCTCCCGGGAGCGGCAGGTCTCAACCCACTGTGCCAAGCATGCAGCGTGGCCATAGTGATGGACTGGCATGCGACGCCACGCTGGTGCAGCGTGAGGTGGCTCAAGTGAGAGAAGTGAAATCACTTGGGATCCACCGTCAAATCTGTTGGTAAATGTGTACGTGGAGCATCCATCATGAGATGGCCGATATGTGATGATATTGACGGCTCATTTCGGGAAAGTAGGTAGGAAATGTGAGAGTCATATTCGCTACGGACCGCATTCAGCATATGTTGGTGTTTGTGGTTGCGGAAGGCGGTGTAGAACTCTATATCAGATGGTCCAAAAGGCAGGTAGGTGGAACAGTTTTAAGCACCTACATTGAACTGAGTGCGTTCATCTGGAGGCAGTCTAGTCCGTTAAACGTAGGCCAATGGCAATCACGCGAATGAACGGCTGAGAGTTTAGGGTCTCCTCCTCCGCCACCGCTGCAGCGCATGGCCGCATCACGTGGTTGCAAGGGCTCGGTACCTGAGAAATGTCATGGAGATTTCTGGGGAACCACCTTTCAGCTGAGGTTCTCAAGCCAAGACCTTGCCACATCTTGCTATATCCAAAGGTCCGTGACCTCAATCTTTCTGGATTCACATATCTCAACCCCGAAGCCTCATGCCTTCATCTTCCCATGAATTGCTTGCTGTTTGAACTCAGTTCAAATTCCTATTGATTCCTCATACACCTTATGCAGAATCGGCTCATGACGCCAAGGAACAGATCGCACAAACTCCGCAGCTGCCTTCTGCTGCAGGTGACTGATCCTGATAATCGAAAAAACACATTTTCGTTTCCAAGTCAATGGACCCCGGCTTTCAGATCGATGGAGTCCGAGTCATTCGGGAGAAAAGAGATTTGGTGAAGACTCAGAAGCGCTAGCGCATGTGGATCATATGTTTATTTCAGATACAAGAAATACCTGAGCCAAATGGCCTCCTTCTTCATCTGTGTTGAAGTTCTGTAAGGCCTCCCGTTGCTGTCGCCGTTGATCGTCCGCGTGCAACGGCGCCCGTGGGACCACTGCGACGAACCGCGCAGCTCGCTCCTGCAGAATCTCCGCTGCCTGCTGCAAATCTCCATGCGTGGCCGCCAACGCCCTCTCAGCTCTTGGCCGTTCGTAGCCTATGCTCAGACGGCTCAGTGGGCAATAGCCAAAAGACCGTGACTGAGAAGACGGCTGACGAAAATAACATAGCAAACCTGCAGGAATTGTTCCAAGTTTGTGTTTTGGGGATGTGTGTGTTATACTGCATGTTGTTTTTCAATCTGTTGAAGGGCTCGAGATTGCTAGTGCTGCACATTAGAACAACTCGCGTGCCCCAGCGGCCTGTATGCCACGCCTTTTGTCATGCTGGCTCTGCACTTTCTTAAACAAAAGCACGTGCAGGGCCATGAGAGGTCAGGAGAAAAGAACAAGCGGTGAAACCGGTGGCTTGCAAATGACCCTACAAAGCTTGGAGACTACCTGAAGTACATGCAGGGCAAAGAGACAAGCAGTTGCAGTGAAAGTGCCTTCAATGGTTGCTGTCGAGTGGCCCTACAAGCTTCGCAGACTACCTGAAGTACATGCAGGGCAAAGAGACAAGCAGTTGCAGTGAAAGTACCTTGAATGGTGGCTTTCGAGTGACCCTACAGTGCTTCGGAGACTACCTGAAGTACATGCAGGGCAAAGAGAGAAGACGTTGCAGTGAGAGTGTCTTGAATGGTGGCTTTCGAGGGCTTCCGAGTGACCCTACAGTGCTTCGCAGGCTACCTGAAGTACATGCGAGGAGAGCTGCGCAAATGCGCAGGGCATAGGAGGTGCCAATGTGATGGCCTCCCGCAGGAATACTGTGGCACGTTTGTGATTGGAAATCCCGCGCGTGTTTTCCAATCCTGACTGCGGCGGGTCAGCTGAGAAGCTGTTACCATTTTCTTGGTGTGAGCGCTTGGCATCAGCTCGTAGGTGCACAAGCCCACCTTTTGCTTGCTGTTGGTCGCTCGACTTCCTGGGATGTAGGCCTGTGCAGTCTCGCATCCATTTTTGATTTGGTTGCTTGGAAACAGGGGTTCGAAAGTTCAGCTGATGCTTCGGCTGGGCGAGAGCCTGCTTTCCACAATGCATGTGCGGCCACAGGCGACCGCCTTCGGCAATTGCAAGCTAGATAGATCAGTCTGTTGAAGCTTAGGCACTGTTGGTAAAGCTCATGGCTCTTTTTGTCTACAACCAGAGTGCCCTTCGAAGGCCAAGCGACCCATCTCTAACAGCTTGGAGAGAGGATCCTGGCGGTGAAAACTGCAGTCTTCCAATCATGGAATGCAAAGACTGGGACGTATAGCCTTTTACATATGCCGGGTATAGTATGCACGAGCACTTCTCCCTGTTGTTCGCATCCTTTGCAAGAAAGCGAACCTTCGTTGACTTCAACCTTCGATGGCCTGGGTGTATTGGCTCAGTGCTTACGCACCAGAAGGTCCTAACGAATGAATATTGCAAAACACTATGTTATATAACCACTATAAACCTCCAGAGTTGAGGTTGAAAATACTGTCCAATAGACATCAGGATATGCCGGGGGTAGTCGGTAGACATCAAAAAGTCCACTTTCACCACCTGCACGTTCACCACCTCATTCTTTCCACCTGTTTCGGACCCAGCTCACCCCTCCTCGCGCATGTCTGCCACGGCCGCGTTCGCCCCCGCCCCCTCGTCGATGAGCAGCGCGGCGGCCGCGTCGGCGTCCCCGTCGCAGTGGCGCAGTGCACGGCTGCAGCTCGGCAGGTCGGCACCACAGACCTCGGTCGAAGGGGCACCGTTCGGTCCAACCGGACGCGAGACCGTCGTAACGAGAAGGGTAACCATTGGGGGTCTCAAAGCTCCTGGTATGATATTTGATGGTTCAAATACAAAGGATGCAACTGCACTTCGCACGGTTCGGGGTGCAATATATATACCGGACAGCTCGAGACGTTATGCAGATGTGGGTGTAGCTCACGCAAAGGCCCAGCAATCCCAGGTGTTTGTCTGTTGTTCCTACCGATAGGTTCAGGGTGCACCCCCCTTATTGAGCCATTCCGTGTGGAAACAAATGAGCTGGAAGCTGAAAAGATCGGCAAAAGCGCGCAGGTGCGTGCGCAGGATGAAAAGAGGTCAAACATGTTCAAACCACCGGAACTCCCTCACTTTCACCTTTCTTAAAAGATCTTACAGCAAAAGATTCAAAATGCAACCCGGGCAGCTCACAGGTGTTGCTAAGCATTCTGTGCTGACACGAGACTTGGTGACCACTAGAAAAGGCTCCTACATGCTCCTACTGATATGTTGTGCCCTGCTGTGAAAGTGGTCGAGGATTCAGTTTCTGTGTTTGGGAACTTCCAAAGTATCTCATTTCGCGTCAGCGTGCTGCCCCTTTCGTTTGGGAACTTCCACCACGTTCTGCCCCCATGTCGCCTCCGAGAGCATCTGCGCTTTCTCCTCCATGGGTTTTGCCCGTGAGCGAGGCCACGGATCGCGGCGCTTGGGAGCCCGAATGGTGTGAACGCTGCTGATCGTCGAGCAGGTTTGAACAAAAGAAACCGTAAGCTAGAGAAGACTCATGCAACATGAATCATGGGCCATGACCCAGTTCTTCAAGATGTATGTTCTTCAGAAGGAGCAAATCTGAGGGTTTCAATCATTTTAGACGTCCACTGACATGTGCAGTGACTGACATTTGTAGTACAGATCCGGTAGCCGGGCGTTCATGATCGTGCTTTCGGAAAGCCATGTGTCCGTATCTTGATCCTTTGCCCTGCGGTCAGAGGCTGTCTCAACAGCTTTGGTTCAGTCCAGTCAAGCAGTCGAGCAGTCCGGTCTTTGGTTCGTCGTCCTCTATCTGGACAAAACGGCCAAGCTCTTGATATTTGCTGGTGACCACAGTGTTGACTAAAGTCAGGGATCAGCCCCCATGTACTGTACTTTTCTAGTTCAAGATAGTTCAAGGGTCTCATGGAGCTCAAACCCTCTGTGAAATCCCATGGATGTCACTAGTGTGGACCATGCACAGCCTCATTTTCTCTATGTCTCTTAGCTCCAAACAAATCCTTTTCTCTTCGGCGGACCGTCACACAGACCATCACTTCTGATTCCGTCGCAAGAAGACTTCTGCTCGGTTCGCGGTTGGGTGCCGTTGGCGGCCGGCCTGTCTGTTCCTTCCGCACCGTTCGCACCGTGGCAGCGCCGAGTCGGTGTCTCACCATCGCAGGGGCCCCGCAGACTGCAGCCATGGCACTGAGCACAAAGAGCAGCGTCGCGAAGTCCACAGAGCCAGCAGGGAGCTGCTCCTTCACATTCGATAGTTTAAAAATACATTCACCTTCGGCCGCGTCAGGGAAAATATATCAGAGGTCATGAGAACACTGGAGCTTCATTTATTTGGCACCTTCACACTTGCTGATACTCCCTTCTTCTCTGAATTGTGTGAATCCCTTCGAGCTAATCTGGATGGACAAGCACACTGTTTGTACTCCTTCATTGAAGCACCCACCCCACCCCGAAGCCATTCAGCTTAGAAGGTTGTGTACACCGAAATCATTCTGCGATGGCTGCACCTCCAGGGCCCGATGCTCGGCCGTGGGCTGGTCAGCTCCCTTCGTGATGTCCTGCACGAGGGTACGTGCAGCGTACGTGTAGCGTACGTGGCAGAGGCGTCGCTAAGACAGGTCCAAAAGCTTGGGGCTCTAGATGGATGTCTATAAACATATATATGTATATATATACTGTGTGTATAATGTGTATGTGTGGTTGTTTTATATGTTTTTATCGTGTATATGCCTCTGTTGTGGGGGCTTGGGCTTCCTTGGAGTGGAAACCTAAACCGCAAAGAGCCCAAGTCGTCTGCCGGGTTCAACAAATGTTCAAGACCGCTTCACCGCACGTGGCCAATGCCACACCTCCATGGACCCTATCACCCGACATAGCAAATGAGCCTAATTGCCGAAATAACAGCGAATCATGACTAGGACTAGGACTTAAGGACTGCAAGCTGCAGGTCTGGTGACTAGCAACATCGCTTGTCGTCCCTGCACCCTCTGGCACCCTCTGGCCGAGCGTCCGAGGGGAAGGCAAAGCAGCGGCCACAGCGATACTCATCCTCCGGAGTTCAAGAGTTCGCTGGACTTGCAACAATTCTTTCTTTTGAACGAAAGGCAACTTGGAACACGACCATGAGATAGTCTGATGGAGAACCGAACTGCTTTCTTGTTCCATTGTGGCTCTTGGTTCATTTTGAAGTTGCCCGGCCAATCTCTATATTCCACGAAACAAAACAGAATCAACCTGTCACACCCTAGCCGCGTCCAGACACCCACCAACGAACGACGGCAACGAACTGCTCCGCCTTGCTGCGCAAAAGTCCCACTGCTTCGGCGGAGAGGTCACAGCCCACGCCGAATAAATCCTGCTCAACGCAAATTGGATTCTTTCCACTTGAATGCAAGCTATCAACAGAAGCGGTGCAGTCCATCCCATCCCATGGCCATGGCTGAAAAATGCATCTGAGCCCAAGATTTGGAACCCTTCGCATTTCGCAACATCAAATCCCGGACTGGCCTCCTTGGGACAAACTGACACACTGCCGCACACTGCATTCAGCCCAACCAGCTGCAACAAATCACAGTGCAACAAAAACACAATTCCCACAAATCTCCCAGAATCGCAATGTCTGGCAATCACACAAAGCACAGCAACCAGATGAAGACACGCAGAGCCGCTCCGGATTGGCTCGGAGCATTGGGATCAGACCATTGCCTCGTTTCGCGACTCTCCGCGAGGGGGAGGTCCATGCGAGTCGATCCGGTTCGAGTCAGTCATGAGTCGGATCGACTCGGGAGTCTGGTCGGAGTTGTCAGTGCCAAAAGGACATGGTCAATGGAAGGCTTGAAAGGGTACTGCAGAACCTTCTGAGTAGAACCTCCTGAGGAGTCACGTAGTAGCTGGCATGCTGAAAGCACGTGCGCAGCGCATGCCATCTCAAAGCCAAAATCCCCCTCCAACTGTTCGAGTCACGGAATCCAGAAAGCACTTCAATACTGGGCACAGCCAAGTAGCCCACTGCACAGCCAAGCTCCAGAAGGACTGTCCTTGGTGGATAAGAATGGAGGTTGCAAAGAAACGCTTTGTTGGACTGCAAAAGCCAGGGCTTTTGAATCATGTCGGCCCAAGTGCTGTCACTTCTTCAGTGTTCCTTTGGTCACCAAGGACCACTGTAATCATATTTCTGTTGATTCGACTTCCACGACCTTGAAACATGTGGATCTCCGCCACACCCTTGACATGAAAAGACACAAACACACCTTTACCTAAGCCAAAAATCTGCATTCCTAGGAGGCAATGAATATATGTCCCATCACTGAGCCTTTGCATGAAGCACTTGTCCAAGCTTGGCCCCGTGCTTCGTTTCCAAGGCTGCTTTCTTCAAGTCAATCACTTCCGGGCCCTCAGAGCTGGGCGGACACCGCACCGTCGGGGTCAGAACGGTTCGCTCCTCGTTTACAGTTGCTGGACGAGTTTTGGCCAAGCGCATGTCACGCAGAGAAACTGCAGAGCTTACAGTTGCTGTACGTTCTCACTACTGAACTTCAGATCTTCGAGGGATGAAATCCTTACTGCAAGAACCCGGCAGGAGCAACTCTCCCAGCCTTTGTTTCCTCTTCGCCCCCTTCGCTTCGATTCAGCCGAACATCTCCAGGTCTCCGAGCAGATTCCAACTCATCCACCCAGCCTTGTTTGGAAAAGGTAGATCAAGACCAATGTCTAAGGTCCAAGCAGGGAGCAAGAGGAGAATTCTTCAGATCTTTCACAACCCGATATACTACAAGGGCAGCCGGACTTGGAAAGGAACGATTCAAACCAACCAGGGCCAGACGGACAAGTGAATTGGTGAACATCACAAAGTATCAAGACCACGCTTCGCCTAAGAGATGTTTACCCCTTTGGGTGTTTTGCTTTGGTAGAAAACCACAGATGTATGTCCCCAAGGGGAAATACCAGACCTGCTGTTTTGTTGACTGCTAAGTTGCGTTGATCTTTTGTAGCAAGTCTAGTAGGCCACTTTGTCTCCTAGGTCAATTGTGTGGTATCCCCGACCATCCTTCTCTGTCCAAATCCGCAAAGCCGAGGAACACGGCAATGTCCTACCCCCATCTTCAGTCAACAGCTCCCACAGGTCTATGTTGGGTCTTCAAATACTCTCCTCATCACCTCGTCTTCCCCACCAAAACAAATAAAATCTGACCTTTTTAGTTACACCACCACTCCAAAAGCGCCGTGAAAACACATCCGCCGTCAAAGCAAGCGGCGTTTCGGATCGGCCAGGACGTGTGCGGGCATCAGCTCGGCGAACTCCTGGAACGACCAGAAGCGACCAGAGGTTCCATCGGTGAAAGCGGTGTCCATGAGAAAGGTCCAATAGCCAGTCAGTAGTGAATGAGATTTGCCAGTCAAGGGCCTGTTCGAAGCATGGGATGCAGCCCACATAACATCAACCAATCACACAAAACGTCAACAATCATTGATCTACTGACGTGTTCTTGTCCCTTCCAGTAGCCACAGGTTGCTTGGCAAACAGCTTCGATCACCGGGCTGCCAGAAGAATCGATGCCTCAGGATCTCGGCACTCCTCGCGCAGGTAGTGCCGATCTTTGAAGAAGTTCACCGTCCGTTCGCGGTAGAACCTGGGTGTTTTGTCCGGCCGGCGCGGTGTTTTCGTCCGTTCGCGCGGAAACATGGTTGGCCGTTTCGCCGTTTCGCTTCCAAAGAAGTGTCTAGATATCTTGATCAACAGGGTAGCATTCTTCCCAACCGTGGGTTCCGTTTCTGACCACAGCCAAAGGGGCCAATGTGTGAATGATGTCTCTGACTCAATAGCCAACGACATGTCCACATCTACGTTCCTTGGGCATCCGTCTGACACAAAGTCTAACTTTTGGACGTTTGTGTTTGGGACACAAGAGCTTCAGTAGTCCTCCCCAACACTCTGCAAATGTTTCCAGGTCTTCGAGCTGATCCCAGTAGGCTCGAGCACCGTCGCAGTAGCGTCGCTGCCAGTCCTTTGGAAGATGCTTCTGGTAAGCTAGTTTGTGAGTCTTCGTCCTCCGCAAGGTTTCGAGGCACTCTCAGCCGCTCATCTGCATGAAAACTGATAGAAGCAGCCCAATGCCGAATGAGTCCCAAGTGTCAACGCTGGATTTCCCGCGAATCCCAGGCCCGTTTCTTGATGTCGCCAGAAAGGCACCCTCCAAAAGAGGCAAGGTTCACTGCAAAATTGCAAAGGAAATGATCTGATTGTTGAGAATGAGATAGAGTCGTTGCATGTGCGATGGACTTCGTGATTCTGGCTCTTGCGTGCAGGGATATGTGATATGTGTTTGGACATTCTTCCACTCTGCTGTATCAAGACTCGAATTTGCTGCTCAGAAGTGAAGACTGCAATGAATACTAGTAGCTAGTAGCGATGCCAGGAGCCCCTAGTAGCGTCCTTGTTACTACTAGTAAGGCCAGGAGCCCTAGTAGCGTCCTTGCTCCCCTGCAATGAATACCTGTTATATAGTTATTGTTTGCTCACAGGTGGTTTTGAAGCCATAGCTAGTGCGTGTAAACAGTGTGGGAATGCCTTTCAGGTGGTTTAATCTGGAGGGGCTGGTTTCTTTTCCTACATGAGGTTGCGGGAGTTGAACCACACGTGAAAGGACTTCATTGACAGGAGAAATGTTTTGTCTTACAGAAGCTGTCCACCCCTCCAAGCCCCAATCTTCCACTTAGCCCGGCCCTGAGCCCGGCCCAGCCGCCTCCGGCACCGGTGTCTCATGCTCTCGCTGCATGAGCTGCTCAACGGCCTGGAGGTCTCCTGCCTGGGCGCTCTTTCGCATTCTGGAAAAACGGTCTCTGTTTTTGCCAGGGTCTTCAGCCATAGTAAAGACCAGCAGTTGGGAATATTTCTTGGGCTTATCGCTTTCTGGAGGTTCAACCGAGCAAAAATTGGGGATGTCGACATGAGAAGCTGAGGATCTCAGCCGAGGAGTGAGGCCTTGCGAGGCCTTGCGAGGCCTTGCGAGGCCTTGCTTGGCCTTGCTTCGAGGCCAGTGACATACAACGGATATCTGTGTATGGCTTGCACACCACCGCATCTTTGCCTTAGTGGTGCCTTCGTCTTCAAGCACTGGCGTTGTGGGCTTTGAGCAATACATTATTATAACTACAGGTGCTATAGGATACCTCAATCCTCAACCTACGTTAGACGCAGACGCTGAAACGGGCCTCCCCTGCCTGCTTCCACGAACTAATCCAACAATCCGGCCATCAGGTTGGCCCTTGACGGATTAAAAGGCGCCCAGTGAGCACACTTAGCCCATTGTCTCACTGTCATCCACTTTGCACAGTGGGTTGGCCTCAAACGCCTTGACTGAGCACAGTTGCGCTTCATGTGACCTCTGGCTGAACAGCACAGCAGGAAGGTTCACCGCACAACACCTCCCAAACTTCGCGGAAGCGCCCCACACCCGGCCAACGGTGTGAAAGTGCCAGTCAGGTTTCAAGAACCCAGATGCAGTGGCTCTTTCGGGTAGGGCTGGCATATATAAAACAAAGAGAGAGAGAGAGAGGGAGAACAAAAAAGCAAGAAAAAATAGAAAAAAATAAAGAAAGAAATAAAGAAATGAAAGAAAGAATGATTAAAGAAATAAAGATAAAAGAAAGACAGACAGAGAGAGAGAGAGAGAGAAAAAAGAAAAGAGAGAGAGCGCGCGATGGAGGTGAATGTCTTCCGCCACCGTGGAGTGCCCCAAAACACCTGTGCCGCGAACCTGAAGTTTTGCACACCCTACAAAGTTAGATAGATACGGGGAAAAGAAAAGATTTGAGACTCTGCAGGAAGTTCACCAGATGATCAGATGGATCGGCTGAGAGGATCGGTCGGCGGTATGCGGGGCCGGTCTGCCCCACTGTACGCCCGGACCTGCAAGGCTCGGAGTGCTTCCTCCAACTCCCGCTTCGGAGAGCGTGTTGGATCTCGACCTTACACAAGGGACGTTTGGAAAGCGTCGAAAGTCGACCGAAGGTCGTCAACAAATTTGAGGATGTCATCGAACGAATTGAAAGGAACTTTTCTAGTGGGTGGTAAGGTTGCTGTGTCAAGGACCTTCGTTGAGTCCTTGATGTGGTGCATACTCTTACTCATCAAGAAATCCTATACTGCCAAGTACCTCACCTGCCAATCCTGCCATACGTGTAGCTTTGAGTATGAGCTTCATGTGAAGAATGGTCAAATCTTTAACAAATGTATCAAAGAAGCTGCATGCGTCCAACTGCAGCGGCAACCCTTCAGAACAAAAGAAAGCAAGATCGGAGATCAGATTGGCATCAGCTCTGATTGAGGACCCTTTGAAGGGACACAAAAAATACTAAGTAGTTCCAATGTGTTTGAATCATCGAAGGCCATTCAGGTTCAGATATGCGGAACGGTTCTGGCTTGTGCAGAACACTGTAGGAGCAAGAAGCTACTAGTAGCAAAGGGCATCGCTACTAGGAGCAAGGACGCTATTGGTAGCTCCTGGCATTACTACTAGTAACAAGAAGCTACTAGTAACAAAGGATAAACGATGCTAACAGAGTAAACGTTGTAGAGGATCTGATACTTCGTGCCTCAAATAATAAATTCTTTGACTTTCAAACACATCCCAGGAGAAAGATAAAAGCAACAGACTGATGCCAGGCAGATGCAGGTAGATGAAACGAAGGATTGGATTTCCTTCAGCACGTGAAAAATCTTAGTCATCTCATTCCTTGAAAACTGAGGTGCCACTCTTGAGCCCACAGCTTCCACCCTCAAACGAAAAGCCCTGGGCACCCGGCGCTTCTTCACCATCTCAGCATGCAAATGGGTCCGGGGAGCCCTGGACGAGGGCCCGGGGGGTTTTCGACGTGCCGTGGTTGGGTAGTGCCCGGGGTTGAGATGGGTTGAGTCGCCATTCTCGGAACAGGAAGTCACTATACATCTTAGCCACTTTTCGGTGTCAGGTCACTTGAATAGAAAAAAATCGAATGCTCAAGAACTTTTTGACCAAAATCAATGCCGGGAGAACTTGGGCACCATGAGATAAAGCGGGCACCGCTTCATCACGTGTCTTCTCGTTCGTTCGCACGAGTCTCCCTTCTCCAAATGTGCACTCCCGAGTCTCCCTTGTTCCAAAGGTTTTTATGCAAATGATCGTTTGGCATCTGCCACGTCGGGAGAATAGTGGCGACAACGGAAGAAGGCGGAGATCGCCTTCTTTGTCGAATCACGTCCTTTTTTGCGCCAACACACCTCTGTGTGGCGATTCCTTGAGTGCAACACACTTCAAATACATTCAGATTCAGATACATCCAAATTACAATACTGGATGTTTGTAGGCGTACTAGATAATACATGAACTTCGGTGTTCAGATACATCCAGATATTGGTATACTTCAAAGAGACATTATATACTATGGCACACTTCAGATACATCTGTCTCGTCCTTGTGGCCAGCCATATGCGCAAGGCCGTACCGGCCTCCATTTGGCTCCGACTCCTCAGACGAACACCAATGTCATCTCTCAGTCGAAGAACTCCGACGGCGTAGTCTAGTATCAAGCTCCTTTGATGGAGGCCAAACAAGGAACCTGACAAACACTTCCAGAAGCCCAGACTGGGTTGCTGTGAAGGTCCAACAACCCATAACACCTCTTGGTCCAGACGTCCGCTCAGAACATGGCCAAATTGATGGGAATGCTTTGCTTGTGCATTGAACATGACCTTCAGTCGTTGTCCCTTTTCTGTTGAGACAACGGGCGAAGTACTTCCAGATGGATCACAATGGCTCGGCTCCATGGGCCCAGGCCTTCATGTTGTCTTCTCCGATAAGCTGCTAGAGGCCATTGAAGCTCCTGCACAACTTCGCAGCGACAAGAGCGTGCATGCTGAGAGCACGAACTACTACCGACGTGCGATGATCTATATAAACACAAAACGTGTGCGCATAGCTTGACAGCCAGAACGCTACAGCTGCTTTATCTGAACCTTCGTTCCTATGGTGGGAAGAAACCACCTACAGTAGCTGAGCTTCTGCAAACAAATCTATGTTGCCAGCCGCACTGCGAAACACCCCTTTGGAGGTGTCTTGAGGAAGGGGTCATCAAAACAGCAACATGTGGTCCCGAACGCTCCCGTTGTGGGCAATCAGAAATCTGATGGGCGAAAAGCTGTGATTTCGCTCCTCTGTAGATGCCATGGCAGATTAGATATGCCACAACTTGGCATGGCATCTACAGTCTGTGACAAGCACAACTGAGTCGTGGATGGATTTGGTCTCAAGTCCTCTGAGTCGTGGCGTCTCCAAAACCATGCTTCCGTTCGAGAGAACGCACTCGGTTGACGGACTCCATTCGTCTTGGTCTCGGCTTGTCGGCAGGGATTGACGCCTCAAAAATACCCAGTCCTACGTTGACTCTGCAGGTTTTTCACATCTACAGCAGTTAGTTAGTGACAAAGAGCCTAAGGCTGCTCTGACACGCGATGGCACACATCCTGTCTGGAAGGCTCTGAGCCTCTGCTTCGTGTGCAGACATGCTGCCAAGAGATTGTCCAGCTGAGCTCTTGCCCCAAATGAAAGCATCAATTCTTTCCTGACCAGACCTGACTTGTGCCAAGAAAAAGAAGGTGAAAGTTGCCGTCCAAGTTCAAAGAAGACAGCCAGAAAAGGCTTGCACCTGTGGATATGGAAACAAAGCCATCGATCACCACCCTTTCACGTGAGTTTGTAGTTTTCACATGGATGGGTCATAGGAGTGGCTGAGTGTGTGGAAGTTGACCCACTACACATAGAGTGGCTCATCATGTGACCTGATTGATGGGTACCATGATACAAAAATGATCAAAAATGACCCAGCCATCACATCTCAAAATCTCCTTCACACAATCCACGACAACTCCAACCCCCGACATCACATGCTCGGCTCTTGGCTGATTCCAGCTACTAGGAGCAAGGACGCTACTAGGGGCTCCTGACCTTACTCCTAGGAGCAAGAAGCTACTAGGAGCAACTAGGAGCGATCGGACGCTACTACCCAGATGGACCCCCTACCTCTGCATCTTTTTTCCCGAAGATCGAGCCACGCGCGCGACTCTCAGCGAAGCGGTGGGTAGACCTTGTTCAGGCCAACTCCGAACCTGGCGAGACGTGCAAGTGCATCGCTACTAGTAACAAGGTGCATCGCTACTAGTAACAAGTACATTACTACTAGTAGCTTCTTGCTACTAGTAACAAGTGCATCGCTACAAAAACAAAAACTCTCGCATCCGCTCAGGGCTTCTCCTCTTTGAGGGAGCCAGCAACAAAGGACTTGGGATGTTGAAAGTGTCCAACGCTGGTGGAAACCGACCAAATAGCCATACAATACCTAAACAAAAGGTGTCAATGGAAAACGGTTGGTGGGGAATTGCCCATCAAAACCCTGATTCCTGGTCAACATGCGACCCAATGCCACGGCTGAACAAAGCAACAGCCACAGTCGCACAACAACCCAAGTTTCCCAGCCCAGTCGCAACTGGGATCCGGAACTTTAGGAGGTTGGTGCTCTCTGGTGGCTCCGAAATCCTCAGTGCGCTGCATGAAAGCGCCAGTGCTGAAGTCCAGTCGTTGTCCCACAATGATACTGACCGACCACGAGACAAACCAGATAAGACCAGCGTGGACGTCAGGTTAAGGACAGATGGCTCGGTCATCAGAAGCTTGGACTGCAAGTGCTCTGAGGATGGCAAGTTCTCCCGCTAAACCCCCCCCTTCCCCAAAGAGACCGCACATCTGACACAGCTCCATTCGAGAACTGGCGAAAATGGGAAGACCATTCACCCCGCTCATTCGCTCCGACCTCTTCCACCAGATCTCCCATCCTCTCAGCTCCTGAGTCTCCCTGGCCACGTTCCTGGGTTGATGAGTTTCTCCGGCCTCATTGAGTCCACCGCCACCAGCCCGTTCAAGGCCTGACTCAAGTGGACCGGAGTTCGGCAGGATGACCCCTGTGCCACTGAGCCAAAAATCATTAAAGTCCTTCGTGGGGGAGAGCCAGGCCTCCAACTGCTTTGAGCGCATCGTCGAATAAAAAAGAAGAAACATGTTTCAAAGAGCTAGACCGCTAGACTGCATCGTCGATGGACCAAATCCATTAAAAGTCATGAAGAAACTCAATCAGTCTCCATAAATGGCTCTCACCTTCCCAGCATCACTCTCGTTGGAGCTCTCCAGTAGCACCTGGCTGGGGTGGAAGATGAGGTTTCCTGCTGCGATTTCAAGGTTTCAACTTTCCTTTGGAGAATTCACCATGTGGTTTTTGATGGAAACCGTGGACACCTAGGCCCTCGTTGATGTGGAACAAGTGGAACATGCCTCCAGTGCTAGGGCCTGGGAGGAGTGGCAATCCGAGACCAATTTCATTGGGACAGGCATTGTGACCTTCTACACCTCTGTGTCCCTGTGGAAGCCAGGCCATTCTGGCCCCAGAAAAAGGCCGCGACCCATGTCTCAGCCCTCTTCAATGTGCCAATGAATTTGACTTCCACGAATCGACAGAAGACAGGATGTTTGCATCAAAAAAGGCCTGGCCTTTTTGATGGATCCATAATCATCCATATATTCCGATATTAGGTTGCAGGCCATCGCTACTAGGTTGGAGGCCATCACTATTAGGTTGGAGGCCATCGCTTCTAAGCCATTGCTTCTAGGTTGGTGGCCAATAGAATTAGGCTGATTGTCAATCTGTTTATATGTAAATTCCGATACTCCGTCATGCACCAAGCATCGGGCCTTCTGAGTTGAGAGTGCCAACGAGCCCACACTGGCCTCCGGCTTGGGTCGATTGGCCTTGGTCTCGGTGAGAAAGTAGACGCTCTTCACACTTCATGAGACCCTATATAGCCTTGGTCCAGCTTTTGGAGAGCAATGAAACGCTTAAGAAGAAGTCTGCACTTGGATGGATTTGTCAGAAGAGTTGTAGAAGACAAGATCAATCAAATGAGGGTTCCCCAATCCCCTGATTATCTCCAAGTCTTACATATAGAAACAACATCATTTATATAAATATATATATATCTAGTAGCTCGGCTGCTGAATTGCTTTCACTCCGGTGCCTCCACTCCCTTTTTAAACTCCCGGCTTGCATAAAACTTAAAGTTTGTCAGAATGGAAGAAGGTATAGCAAATGCATGATTTTTCAACACAGTGGTTTTGTATGTTTAATCTCTTCAATCAGTGTTTGGACATGATGGACACTTTGTCATCCTCTCAAACAGCAATCAGACAGGTCACCACCTGAAGGTCTCCTCTGGTGGTTGCGACTTTAGGTCTCCCCGCGCGACCACACCGAAGCATCAGTGCCTTGGATCAAACGTGGAAGGCCCGGTGTTCCCCGAATCATCGCGACAAATCGTGGGGATCGGCGTCGAGAGCGAGACAACTGGGTTCCGACGCGGAAAACAAATGGCCTAGCTTTCCATCATGATATCCTCAAGTGGACCTTTGTAGTAAATGAGTATTGTGCCAGAATGCGAGAATCTCGGAATCTTTGACGGACTGAGGATACGCTTGATTTCGCACGTTTCTCAGTTCTAGTTCTAGTTGTGTTTGAAGATTACCTTTAGAAACACTGGCTGTTGATTGCAATTCTTTCCCTTTTTGACTGATTCTAATGAGTTTGTCAAAAAGGGCACAGCCAGAAGCTTTCCGCAGTCATCAAAAGATTTAAAGTCTATGTTCGGCCACCTGCTAGCTTCATCTGCGCCATCTGAGCTGGCAATTTGGTCGGAACGAAAAGGCATTCCTGGGTCTTCGGACTCCTGCGGTTCGAGGGGCCGCCACTGATGAACCACACGTCTGAGGAAGGAAATGAAGAGGTCATTCAACGGGGACAGTGGTATTCACGGGCGATTCTGTAGGATGTTGCACACTTCGCTTTCTCAATGCAGTTAATGCGTGAAACAATGCTTGTTGATAGACGAAATATACTGTATGCAAGGAGGGCATGACACTTCACAAGTGGAGCTGAAGTCGCCTCAGCATAACCAGCTTCAGAGTCTATTCAGCTTCAAGAACAACGAGAGCGAAGTGTGCTGACTTGGCTTTTGACACCCAAACCCTTCAATCCTTTCGATGGCTACCAAGTTTTGTATCGTTTGTGTTGGACCTACCTCCTACCTGTCGCCTTTTCTTTCTCACACCGCACCCTTTCATTGAGGAATTTGCAGCCTCCGCACAGCTTTTAACTCAGCACCAAGCAAATTCTCTACAACAAAACGGTTCTCCTTGTGATGGCGCCGTGGCCAACGAACACTCGCTGCAAACGGGAAAACTCCGTACCGGTACACAAGCCAATCCGTACGACCTCCCGGGACAAACTCCCGAGGTTTAGTGGCTGGGATCAAATACATCAGATTCTGGGCGAAGATTGCGCCTAGAATCACTGGACTCTCTAGATCAAAACACTTCTGCACGATGCTTTAGATTGGAAGGCCAGTCGGAAGACCTCCATCACAAGAAGCTGTTTGTTCAGCACATAAAGTTGAGCGTCATGTCAGGAAGCAACCCTTCTGCCGTCATTGGCTCGAAGTCGATTGAAAAAGAACAGAGTGCGAAAGCAGGCCTTGCTTGTCTGTGCACTTTGAGAACTGGAATGATGTCCAAAGCTCTGATTTCATCAATCAAAGTTTTGTGGAAAATGTCACTAGTCTGAGGCCAGTGACCCAACATGACAATCCACGCGCGAACGAAGTCTCGCCAGCAGAGTCGCTGGACGGCTCGCAGGGGTCTATTTACAATGCGAAGCTCATGTCGCAGATGGATGGGCACCGTTGGCTGTGCGTCGAAAGGGGAGGGCTTCCTGAAGACTGGCCCGCACAAGTGCTAGGCCTTCCGACTAAATCGTCACCACAAAATCGAATGATCATCAATTAAAATCCAGATGAGATGGCTTGGAACTGTCCCAGCAAAGAGAAGCAATTGGACATTCCGGCCATAAAGTCCCCTTTCTTTCACGGAGTGCCCATCCAAGTAGGGAATGATGGCTTACATGCCATGGCACATACGGTTGCTTTCTTGCGCCGAGCCAGGGATATGTTCTACGTCTACGTGGCACTTGAGGGTATTTGCAAATAACCGACAGGAATAAGCCTGCAATCATGCAATCGTCCAAATGCTTCGTGCCAGGCTCCAGTTGGGTACATGTTCCATCCACCTTGAGAAACCTCGTTCCATCCAAATTCTCCTCAACTATGGGAGCAAGGAAAGGAAAACATATGTAAAAAAATGAAACAAAAGAGTGGCTGGAGGAAAATAGCAAGCCAACAAGCCAAGGGCGACAACGCAAAAGAGCACCCAAGGCCACCAAGCGCAAAATCAGAAAGCGGAGAAGGAAAGAAGCAAAGCCCTCGAGATTGAACATCATCAAAGATTATTTGCCAGAAACAACCGGAACATTCTTGCCTGGACTACAAGATCATGCCACCTGAAGCCAAACAATGTGGAAAAATGCTTTCTTTGTCTTGATCAAGTTGCTTCGTCCTTTTGAGTCGACATTGGTCCGGGAGATGTAAAAAGCCATCACTTGAATCATACTTGCTAGTGACTTGGGGCCCTGCTGGAAACTGGCCTACACACACACCTGGAATCTGGGAATCTGGAAACACTGGAGCATCACCTGGCTCTGCGCAAAGTTGGCCCGGCCAACTTTGCAGTTGCCCAAGATGGGAAGAGGAGGGCTCAGAATCAAACAATCGAGAGAATCTAACGTAGCAAAAGTGCGCTCTGTTTGAGTACATAAGGAGTTGCAGCCTGTCCAAGGTCACCCATCTTCGCTGACCAATCCTTTTGAACAGGGTGTTCTGGCCCCTCCTTGATCCCAAATTGGTGCACAAAACTGCCGGCCTCAGGGCACAGCCTCCACGTGACTCACAATATCCCTTCGTCCCCGTGACTCACTATCCAGGTGTCGAAACATGAAGAGATCCAAAGCATACTTGGCGGGGGGGCTGCATCAACTACACATCACTCCATAAGAGGGCTGTCCAACGCAAAGGTAAGCAAGCAGCATCTTCATGGAGTGTGACAAGCAAACGCTACATCGCAAGGCCGGCTAGACAACCCCTTCAACACAAACTAATGCCATATAATGGCTTAATCTTTGAGATAGGCATATGACTACTGACTACTGGCAAGATCAACCAAGTTTCAAAGCAAAACCAAGAAAACTGGGGTCTTGGGGGACAGTTAAGAATGCAACATGGAGCAACATGAATAGTACCAGCCTCTGCAGCCTCCGCAGCAAGTATGCACTGCCTGTCCAAAGTTTGGTGGTCTGATTACCATTCAGTAGCATTCCCAGAGTTGAGTTCCTGCAAACAGCATGATGCTCCATCCCAGGAACCATACGAGCGGATGTGTACATCACCCACTGACCCCAGTACCCTAAGAGCGGTGCACAATCGCATGCCGGCCGTGGTAGGCTGCCATGCTCACCTTGTAAGAGTTGGAGCCGGCATTCAATGGATCAACATGTGGAAAGCATCAGAAGGTCTTGAAGGCCGATCCAATTCACCAAACGCAGGTCTTAAATCATCTACAACTCGTTGATCTTGATTTGCAAAATCCAAAAATCCGAAGACTGAATCCTGCAAAGCTACTGGCCACACCCAAAGAAACCTCAAAACTCTTTCGCCCAGGACACTTCCACATTAACCCTGGTCCCAAGCTCTTTTCAGTGACCCTTGCAGCTGAAGTCCTTGCTTTTCCCGTTCTTGCTCCTAGTAACGATACCCTTGTTACTAGGAGCGGCCTTTGTTCCTAGTATAGTAGTAAGGTTCCCGACTCCCGGCCCCTAGTAGAGTTCTTGCTCCCAGTAGCGATGCCCTTTGCTCCTAGTAGCAAATTAGCTACCACATGAACCCTGGTCCCAAGCTCTTTTCAGTGATCCTTTCAGCTGAGGTCCTAGCGGGCATTGCACCAAAAACGTCCCTCTTCTGAAGGTCTGCGCTCAGGTCGCACAAAACTTGGACCACGTCCTTAGACTGGACGGCACAACAGGCTTTCTGAGCTACCGGTTATTCTGGGTCATATTTCTTGTGAGAACAAACAAGAAACAATAACCGACAAGAAATGTTCAAAAAAAGGCACTGTCTCACGCAGGTTGGCGCCGTTTTTCTCGTTTCGATTACTCTGCTCCAAGGCGCAGGGTTTCCTCGCCAACAGGCAAAGTGCAAAGGCGTAAAGCCGCAGCTGGAGGAATTCCTAGGAGCTCTGGGAGGATAAACAAAAGACCTTCCAACCTTCGTTCATCTTAAAACTGATCACCAAACCAGACCTTCTTTTTCGATCCTCGGGAAATTCTCAAGGGGTTCGAAATTCCAAGCCCGGAAAGTTTAGAAAGGCTCCTGTCTTGCTTGACTGAGTTCGCATCAAATCCACATCTTGCATGCAAAGGAATCGCACCACGTCCTTCGGACGTCTACGTTGCTCGCCTCTGTTCAATTACAATATACAAAATGCTGATGATGTACCTCATCACTGTCACCTGCAAACCTTCAAATGAGTTCTCACATCCACCGTGCCCACTACCTGTTGCTTGGAAGTAGCGGAAGTGCATCAACACCATGACAATCCACAGGACTTCACCCGCTCCTCTTGGTCATAGAAGGCGGCCATGTGCAAGGGCGTCATCCCGTTGCCTTGCTCGAGCCCGAAAAGACTTCCTGACTCGAGTAGATCTTCAAACAGGGCTTTCGCGGACAAGCGACGATCCTACGCATTCCCACCGCCATGGTGACAAATGTCCATGTTGGTCAAGAAAAGCTGGCGGTGGCTAGAGGCGTTCGCAGCTGGCGAGAACCCTTTCTCACCTGCCAACGCTTCCAAATTGGCCTTGGACTTGTAGAGCTCTTGTGCCACAGCCTGTCAGCAACAAACTGAACTTGCAAGTTCGTCAAACTCAGTCTCCCCAACCGCCAACCGCACGTCCTTTTTCTCGCTGGGATTGGCCGACTCCCTGGCAGGATTCCATCACCGGAGAACCGGCGGCGCTGCCAGGCATGTGGCGAATGGTAGATGCTGGTGCCACTAAGCTGGAGAATAAGAAGGTGCCCTTGCCTCTCTAAGTCTGTGGGATCCAACCACCCCCTTTCGTTCTTGCTCAGGGATGACTAGCATCTGGACGCTTGGCAGGATCCAGAGCGAGCAAGCTCGCCTCGCTGCCAAGCTAAAAGATGCGAAAAGTAACACGACATTCAGAGCCGCTGGGTTGGACGGTCTGAGTGATATCCTCATCAGCCAGGCCTCTTTGGACAACACACCAAATCAATCAACCGGCTAGGGATATTCGAGCTTGAGACTTTGAGGAATAGTTCCACAGTCTTCAGGTTCTGTAGTAATCATTAGTAAGCTGTATATGGCCTAGGCTGAAACAAAACTCGCAGCTCAGATGCCCGGGTAGCCAAACTTCACCGCCCAATCTTCCACCTGGATTCGCGAAGGATCCAGGATTCCGTCAGGTCCGTTCTCAAGAATCCGCAATACTAGTAGCTTCTTGTTACTAGTAGCGATGGCCTCCACCTAATAGCGTCCTTGCTACTAGCTTCTTGTTCCTATGTGGATTGGGATCATGGGTTCCGATGTTGACCAAAAGAGATCGCTTAGGTCAGCAAGCGGTGGCGATGATCACCGAGTTGGGAATCGTTTGAAGGGGCAAAAGAATGAAACCGACAAAAGGCTCAAATCAGGACTGTACCTGTCATCTTTCTTTTAATGAGTGGAATGATTGCGGGTCGCACCATCGTATAAGTTGGTATTTCAACCGAGCCTTCCAGCGTTTGGGTTGCAGATGACACAGTGGTCAAAAAGAGGTGACCTTGCTAAAAGTATAGAGTTTTTACAGCTTCAGCGAAGGATGAGACAGCCAATTCTTTATCATCCAGAGCTTGCGCCCCACATTTTTGAGAATCTTCACATGCTTTCTACTTGGGACCAATGCTGGATGTCCATTCAAATGACCTTGCTCCCTCCCAAAAAGAAATGGGACCGTTGGGCCTTCACAAATTTGGGGTGAGTGCCCTTCTTGATTTGCATGACACAACTTCCCTCAGCCAGTTAAACATTGACGGCAGTATCTCCGGCCATAGTCCCTCCCTCGGGAGTTGCGGGTGGGCCTCCTTCTTCAAGCTCTGCACCTCTGCATTGCCCGGGATGGCAGCCTCACGCACTCTTCCCGACGTGTGCCAGTGAGCTGCAGGCGTGACAGCTGTGTGATATCAATATAGTTCTATTGTCACCCATGGCTCTATGAAACCACCGAAACGCCCATCACGGAGGTGACAGCGGCCCGGCGGACCTCGAAGTCCTTCAACTTCTTGCCCTTTTCAGCTTGGATCTTCAGGGCGATCTGGCCTGCAAAGCAGACCAGATCACATGAAAACCAGAGAAATGCCCCTACAGTATCTCAATACAAATGGCTCGGATCGGATCATTCAGGAATGATCCCTGCCCATCCCTAGCCCTTAAGTAGTTGACAAATCAGAGTGGTTCACCATTGGCCATTCATTGGCAGCCGTTGCATCAGCTGAGCAGCAGCAACGGTCCAGGAACTCTCCGATCTTCTTGAAATCCTGCACGTTCGTCGGTCACTTCCATGGCGATGATATGGTTCTTGAGAGGTTATACTCTTGTGTAGCTTAGATTCATGTCAACTATCCAAACCCTAGCAAAATAGCATGCATAACCACCTTCTCCAGTTGTGCTTGCATGGCTGCTTTACTGTTGGTGACGATTCAACGTTGGCCGACATCAGCAGACCTTGCTTCAAAGACAAACACTCTGTCGAGTTCTGCCAAGCGATATCGGTTCACACATCAGGAGGAGGATGTCTGAACCGAGATCTGACAAATAGTGCTGATAAACACAGTATTTTTACATACTATTACATCGTCGAACATATTTACACGAACACCCCATCGGTGCCTACAGACGCATCCTTGTCCAAACAAACATCGAAGCCCGCCCCACATCCTGCTCCGTGCAGCCGCGGGTGGTCATGGCTGGAGCCCCCACACGGACACCACCCGGGCTTAAGGCGCTCGCATCGCCATGCACGGCGTTGCGGTTCAAGGTGATGGAGGACGCCTAACATCGCTGAATTGGTCGCTGACGTCGCGACGGACGCTGGGCTTTTTGGGGGTGCTCCCAGGTCATGTTTAAAGGAAAACATAATCCAACGAGATTCATTTACTACAGGTTCACTGTTGGGCTTGTCTGATGAATGAAGGAGCCATGTGGATCCACGAAACAACGCAACCTCGTTTCAATCCTCATCCCTCCGGTTCGCTGTTGAAAACGTCGACATCGATGTGTCGCGACACAAGGGATGCGGTTCAACAAACGATTCGGCGTTGGCCTCTTGAAATATCCCGTGGAGCCGATGTTTAGCTCCACCAGCCAGGAACATCCCCCAGCTGAACAAGTCCAATCCGCCCGTCGCCCGCGTCCTCGCAGATCTTCTCGACCTTGGAACCTTCGACGCATCGGCGTACGCAACACGAAACCGAGAGCGAAGCCTCGGCGTGCCGGGCAACACGAAGACATTGAAACTGAATTCGTAGTAACAAGAAGCTAGTAGTAACAGGTGCCACGCTAGTAGTAACAAGAAGCTATTAGAAACAAGTGCCTTGTCTCGACGCATCGCGATGCGCATCGCTCGGCATCGCATCGTGCCTGTCAAACCATGGGGTCGAAGATCCCAAAGGAGCAAGTGGTTGTCAGTACCTGGTGACAGGCTTGACAGGGGACATCACCGTGAGTCCAAGTCGGTACCCATCAATTCCAAAACCTTCGTCGACGGCTCCTTGTCGCAGTTCTGCTTTCATTCCTCGTTCCATGCCGCTTCACACTTCCGTCTCGAGTCCCAGTCCAAACGGCGAGAGGTTCCCCATGGTTCCCCGCCCAGATGTTTTCTTGGAGAAAGCCAATCATGCTCCTTCAAACCCACTCTTCTTTCACACCAAATTCGCGCGCGCGCGCACCGTCAGACGCCAACTTGTGCCCTTTGCCCATCAAAGTCTCAGCCAAGGCCTTGGCGTTGGCCTTCACCTGCGAAAATCAGATAACCGGTCTCGGGCCTTCCGAAACAGCAGCACCCAGGTGCATAGGATCATGTTTAGGTCAAAATCAAAATACCTTTTGTTGACCAATTCGTGTGTTCTGGTGTGCAATCATGATCAGTTGTTGCTTCACTTTTCAGCAGCTGAATGAATCAGTCTGCAAACCTTGCAGCATCACTGCGCAAAACACTGGCCTGCTTCGCATAGTCCTGGCAACGCAAGATTCAATAGCCGCGCAAATCCTCCCCCAACCAAAGGATCCAAACTATACCGTGGCTGCATGGCTCTGACCACCCCAATTCGGCTTAGACATGTTTCTCTCCAGTTCCTGCCGGCAGTTCTTGCCGGCAAAACCTCCGAAAAAAAAGGAATCAAGCTGCTTGAGAAGCAGCCCAGTGGACCCCCTCTCTTCTGCCAGGTGCAGCAACAGCAACACATGGCAGAGCTGTTCGCGCCGTTCCCACCACGTGCCAAGTCCAACGTCGTCCACGACGTGCAAAGTCGTTGGTCGTCGACCGGGCGCCTTGAACATTGGGCTATCCACCTCCAGGAGCTGCACCGCCAAAGCACCGATCTGGTGGTTGTGAGGTCCACCCTGAGCGGCTGGAGCACACAGGTCATGCTGAAGAGCACACAGGTCAGGTTCTTCCAGAAAAATCCATCCAAGAACCTCTTGCCTGCCATGGTTCTAGAAAGTCTGCATTCACTCACACCCATCTTGGACACTTGGAACTGAGCTTACTCGTTCTGTGAAATTCATGTGAAGCTCCTTGTTTTGGACCCGGACCCACTGTGCCCCACCTGAAGTGCTGGGAAGACTGCCATGTCAATTCGCTCTTTGATGTCAGGGATCTGCTCCTGGACAGAGAAATGAAGTGATGTCGACCATAGACTGTAGAAGTGACATTCTGAACACATCACATGGAAGTGAAGTGGACGGTAGGGCCCTCAACTCACTTCAAGTCACTCAAGTTCCTTTAGTTGTTGGGACAGGGCTCAAGACTCTAAACCTCGACCTTCCGAAGACCGTGATCGGTGATCCCCAGCCAGTCCGTGTATTTGAAGAAGATCATGCCGGCTCGAGGCCCTCGCAAGGACTTGTGGGTGGTGGTCGTCACCACGTCACAGTGCTCGAAGGGCGAAGGATGCTCGCCCGTCGCCACCAAGCCACTGATGTGGGCAATGTCGGCCATGAGGATGGCGCCCACCTGGAGAGCTTCAGCCAGCTGTGGGTGATGGCACTGGGGGGGACATGAGTTACGGGCTCCTGGCTTTTGACCCATGTCAGCAGTCAGATCATCCGCAATAATGCTCTTGGTGAGGTGCACCATAGGATTCACTCTTAGACTCTTTGCCATTGTTTTATGATCTGCTTGCACAATTTCTGCACCCCATTCCCTTCACTTTTGTAGCGGCTTCGTACGGTAGGGGTCTCATCAACGGACAAATGACTTAGTAGGTTGCTTGCCATTCACCAGACTATCTAGAAAGATCTTCATTGTGCTCTGTTTCATTTTGCTTACATTTACATGATATTTCAAATGACAAAGGTTGTTCATGGCACGAATGACAAAGCTGAGGTTTAGCTCAAAGGCGCTCCACTCAAAAACGTCAGAACTAAAATGATACTCCAAAGCGTCAAAAAGAAATCCTGATTCAACTGATTACTTCTATCCCCCTGCAGTCTGACTGCCCAGAACACCTCATTTGCGATCTCCCGGAACTTCTTGAAGTCGATGACACGGGGGTAGGCGCTGGCACCACAAAGGATCATGGCCGGGCGGAAGACCAAGGCCGTTTTGCCTCGAAGGGGTTGGTGGTTTCGCTGGGAAAGGCACGCGGATGTTCCATGTGTCAATCATCCTGGTGGAGGTATCAGGTATTTGCAATATTCTGGATGTCCTGCAACAGAGAGGTATCATGCCAAGAAGGAAAAGTCATTCTAGAATCTACAAGAGCAAGGATAAACCAGCCATGTTGCGGAGCTCGTCGAAGTCGATCAACCCAGTCTCTGGGTGAACTCGGTAAGGCAGGGACTCGAAGTAGATGCTCGTGGCGCTGATCTTCCTCAGATCGTCCACACTCCACACTCGAGTCCCTCGAGTCTATAGGAAGATCAGAGGAGCTGCAAAGGGTCAGCGAGACTTGCTGGGAAAGTCTTAGTTCGCAGGGTTTGCAATCTCTCAGAACTAAGCTCCTGACTTCTTGGCGGTGTAGTAGCCATGGGTGAGGTGTCCGCCAGAGGGCAAATCCAACCCCATGACACGGCTATGCGGAGGCAACAAGGCCGTATACACCTGCCAAAGTGCGGTCATCACACCAACTGAAGAGAAAGCCCCAAAACTGGTGTCTGATTCTCACCGAACACGGAGTTGGTCGCACGAGTCGAAGGTTCCTTTTCGTTCGGTTCCTGAGTCGTCGCTCTGTTTTGAAGCGACGAGGCACCGCAAAGTTGGCTGGGCTGCCACTGTAAGGCTGCACATTCACGCCCCACTCCTGCGTTTGTAAGTGACGGAACTGAGTGCCAAACAAAAACATGAGGGAAGCGCCGCAAAAGCTCCAAGAAGCAAAAAGGAACACAGCACCGCTCATTTGTCGATGCCTCGAATAAAGTTGAATAAAGAGTGTGTGTGTGTGTGTGTTGCTATGAACGACTAACTGAACGGAATAGAACCCACATGACCACATATAAGTACATCATATTGCCATTTATTATTGAAGGTGTGACCTCGTTACCACGTTGTACTGATCTCACAAAATTTCACAGAAGGTAGATCAACCCAGTCTCTGCACAAACATCTAGACATCCAGCATCATCGACTCAAAGAACCGATCTCAGGTGCGATTTGTTCCTTCTCATCAAGGTTGAAAGCCTTCAAGGCCCGCGACTTGCACAGGTTCTCCACCTGTCGATGGTCTCATGACAAAGGTTAATGGATGTTAAAGGTAGTAACCTTGCTGCCCATTGAACTTGGTCTTGTCATCGTCCCTTCTTAAACAAGCACACTGTGTAGCCAATCAGTTCTGCGGCACGGCTTTGTCTGTTGCAGCGGCAGGCAGATTTGTTCGCCGAAGTATTTGGTGATCCAATAACCAGCCTATATTTGGCAAACAGCGCAATGTCACACTGAGAGAGGAGGGCAAGAGTGCTTCCCAAACATTCTGTGTGTGTAACTAGCTTTCTCTCCTCTACATGAAGCGGCATCAGGAACTAGCCAGAAGGCGGTGCTGATCAAGCATTCGGTTGAAGAAAATAAGAACAACGAGTCCGGCAACTTGGCTACATTTCAAGCCATGTCGATGATGGCAGTGGAGTCCTTTCAAATCTGCGAAGCTTGCAGTTTGACCTTTCCCACGTGCCACCATTCTGCGCAGCGACTTGTCGAGCCGGCCTTGTCGATGACTTCATTGCCTCCGTAGTAGCGGTTGCCGGGCTGGCCCTCCGAATACCTTGAGTGAACCACATCTGTGGCCGAATTTCAACATCACCTTCTGTGGCGATAAGACAAGACTCGACCCAATCTCAACTGAACCTTTGGCCACCTTTGGCCTCGTTCAAAACAGCTGAGAGAACTGATGTCCAGGTGATCATGCCCAGGTCACTTGTTGGTCAGTGATGAGCCCAGGCATTCCATGACGCCACGGCTGGTGAAGTTCTCAGAGGCAATCAGCTCAATGCACCGCATTTGCCGGCCCTTCTCCTGCGGCTCTGCGGCTCTGCACGCAATGCGACTCTTTTCAAAACAGAGTCGAAACGGGGGTCTGGACGGTTCGTCTGGACTGTTTGTTCGGGTCAAAGGCATGCCACACTCCTGTTGCACCAAGTCGTACATGGTAGGATCCACTTCCTTGAGGGGTCGATTTCCAGGCAGTGCTGGGCGGTCGACCACCTGCAAAACTCAGAGGGCTATGGTCGGCCACGGCCAAGGGAAAAGCAGCTGAATTCAACAACGTTTCGGAACGAATAAGTTTGCCAAAGTAGAGAGATCGTACTGCAGTGTCTTTCAAAAAAAACATACAGAAGCTGCCCCTAATCACAATGAATGGCCACCTCCACTTTGTGCGCTGCCAATGTCATGACACTTGAGATGGCATGAGTTACCGTGAACATCCTTTGCAAGCAGCCATTCAGCAATCATCTCCCGCTTGGTAGTCTTTGAATGAAATTTGAAGAGGCCTTCTTGTGCTTCTGGCGTAAGAACCATGAAACATGAACCGCGGTCAAAACCTACTTCTAGGTGGGTAGCTCAGAAAAGAAAGAAATTCAGAAATGCAAACAGAGGAACGTTTCTTTCGCTGCAAATGGACCTTCCAGAACTTCCGACCGACAGATCTGTCACGCCGCCTTGGTTCCAGTGGTGATGCCTTGCGCAGAGACCATGAACTTCGCGTCTGCTTCCACTTGCTGGAACTCCGCGGCTTGGGCATCCTCAGATTCTGGTGGACACCAGCTCGCAGCTGTGAATAGAAATTCCATGTTACAGTAGTGGCCTTGGTCTGGAACTACTTTCATAGCATGTCAATCCCTATCAAGACACTTGGCTGCAGGATCACTTCGACCAGGTCGCTGAAATCTTTCCCAAACCTTTCAAGATGCCGACGACCACCTTGACTTGAGCATTGTGCACAAGGAATTCAAACACACCCTTACACCCCAGTGCACACCAAACCACTTGAAACTACGGGTTTGTCATGACAAAGTGCAGAACTCTCTACCAACAGTGTCGACATGGCATCAAAAGAGAGCCAAGGCAACCTATACATATACGTCACATATCTATAGTCTATACACATATCCCCAAACTGTTTGTTCCCAGCATTGTCACCCTCCATGCCATGTTTATGACTCAAAGAAGAACGAATCCTGCCTTCTCCAGGTTCAAAGTGTAGAAATGAAGTCCAGGCGCCCCACCCTCCAGGAGCTTCTTGCACATGTCCACACCTTCCTCCAAGATCTTTGCGGCTTGACGAACGGGTCTAATGAATGTGCCAGGTGCACGCAGATCAATTGAAAGGATTGTCTTTCATCCAACGCCCCAAAATAGGTTGGACACTGGTTGATCGGGTGAGGTGCGTTTCAGTGTGCCTTTGGTCCAGCGCACCAGCTACCGAAAAGAAGGGCTGTCCAGGTGGTGACCGGTCCAAACGATCATTGGTCTGATTCATGATGTTTAACCGGCTGGCTTCCCAAGCTCCCGGAAAGGCGTATGTTCGCCATTTAACCAAGATTGGCAAAAGCAATCAGGTAGTCCAACTTCACACTTGTACATCTTGTGCCCTCCCAAACTTCCCATTGCTTGACACAGAATGATCTCCGAAGTTGATGAATGTTTTGGTCCAGACATAGTGTGTCACACCTTAATGCAATCGAGACTAGAGGGAACGCATGCACCAGTCCTGGATTCCGAAGGCTTTGAAGGCCTCATCGGAGGTGTTGGCCTTCTCCGCCCGCTCCATCAAGCCCTCAGGCACTCGAGTCTTGCATAGCTCGGTCATGCGCTTCAAGCCACCTGGAGATCGTCTTCGTGCCGCGAGGCCGGTGGGTGGTCGATCGTTCTTCGCGAGACGGTCTTCTCGGGTGTTCGGGACGTTCACATGGAGAGTTCGTTTGGAAATGCCAGGCCAAAATAGAAGGTCCAAGCCAAATGCAGAACTTCTTGGTTGTCAGAGATTCCGTCCCTTGCTGCGCCTTGCTGCACTTCTTTTTTCTCTGCACATCGCATGTAGCTAAATTTCACTGTCATGGCTCGGTGCTGCTACCTTTCATCCTTGGCATCTGAGACATTTCAAGCGTTTGACCACCCGCATGGGGTACTGGTAGTTAGTATGTCATGGTGCCACTTGAACCTGGCTGTAAACAACTCCACGCTATCTATGTCAGGCAGATTCATTCATGGCACTAGTCCTTTGGTGGTATGCCATGATGATAGTCCTTTAGGCAGGTCGCCCAAGGGCTTCACACAAAAGCTGGCTCTTCGAAGCATTGAAGCTCCAAGAGCGAAAATATGAAATGGTCGTCCACCGATCGATTCAGAACTGTAAGGAGGAGTCTGGCCAGAAATCTCTCAAGTTTGTTGCTATCAACTTTTCCATATTGGTTTATCCATCTCATGTCTTCAACACAACAGGTTTCTGACCATCTCTGACCCTATGGTTCCGAAGAAAGAGGCGGTTCTTTCTGCACCATGCCGGGATGGCCGTGTCATCTGTCAAGCATCTGTTAAGGAGATGCATGGCACTCAGCTTGTTGCCGTATACCACAATGATAGTCCTTTAGGCAGGTCGCCCAAGGATCTCTATACAAAGTTGGCCATTGGAAATTGGAAACGCGAAGGGCAAAACATTCGCCCATCGAGGAGTCTGGCCAGAAGCCTGTTAAGTTTGTTGCTAACCGCCTATGGAAGTGTCTCCTTCTCATGCCTTGAAGACAACAGGTTTCTGACCATCTTTGACCTGGTGGTTCTCAAAAGTCGCGCTATAGGGTGCTCATACCCGTAGGTTCATAAAACGATGATTGGAAAAAAGCCAAAGATAGGGGCGGCGCGGATTTCAATTGTGCATTGCTAGCACAGGTGTGTATGTATATACTGTTGACATTGGATCAAGTAATCTCCCACAATTAATCGAGCCCGGCTTGAACCCCCAATACTAAACTAATTGTAAATCTGAATTTCATTAATTTTGAACATTGTCACCCTACGATCCCAGACGCTTCCTGAAACGGGTTCAAGTAAGACATGAAATGAAATGGCAGGCCGGGTGTAACTAAAAAATGAATTCACTTGCCGGGTTGAACTAAGAAATGAAATGACAGCTTAGATTTAACTAAGACAGGAAATGGTCGGCCGGGTGCAACTAAGAAATGAAATGACAGGCCGGGTGTAAATAAGAAATGAAATGAGTACTAGAGGAATCTTATGTGGTAGAGGTTTACTCAAGAAAACATCAATTCCGCAACAATCACATAGACACGAAATTGTGAGATAATGCCCCGCAAATATTCACAAAAAAAAACATGCTGAACTCTAGAGCTTAGACTTGGTAGCTGCTCCAATGAAAAGCGAATAAACTCCCAAGAGCAAACTCTCTAGAACAATCGCATCCTTGGATATTTTTTAGAGGGACTAAATACAACAAATCAAGACTCCGTTGGGTGCATAATAAACAAACTTGCTGATGCTCCAACAAGCAGCATGGAGTCTAGATTCCTCAGAATGACCTTGAAGGAAGGCCAATACTGCCTCATGGATGAAGTCGAGATCTTGAGGAATAGGGCAAAAGCCCATGATCCAGTGAAGTGGCTTCAACAACTAGCCGAAAATCCAACAGATTCCACCGAAGCTCTAACTCCAACCAGTTCCGAAGAAAAAGCTCAGAAGAACTTTGGGAGTGTCAACGTATAAACAAGATCTCATGTTTTGAACATTTGTCCAAGCTTGTTCCCTCCAGCCCTTGGCCCAGGGAGCCTCGAGCGGGCGGGAAGGGTTCATTATCGGCTTGGGCCATTAGTCACCAGCGCAGGATTGAGAGCAAGGAAACAAGGAAGCGCAGGGCCGCTTTGCAGGGGAAGAAGTGAGAGGGAGCTGCTGCTACCACTTTCATAATGTGTATATGTACATATATATATATTATATGTAAATATGCCTGTGCGATAAAAATATGTGAATGCTTAGGTTGATGCTACTCACTGCCGCTCACGCCCCTATTTGAGTGCGCAAAACAGAGTTGCAGGAGGTGGTCCTGTGAGAGACCACCGGGGGAAGTTCGTTGCGCCATTGCACGCATTGAAGTTGTTCCCCCTCCCCCGTGCAAACGAGAAGACTGAGAAAGCTACTCAAACAGTAGGATCTTGTGACCGGACATTTGCAAGAATAATTAGCAAACCTCTTTGCTGCAAAACTTGTGGAATCTCCTGTGTGTCTGCGTGTCACGTCTCAACCTAACAGCAGCTATACAAAAATATAGTTTGGCATGCATCAGCTTGGCGATAGTGAGAAGGAGGCTCGCCATTCCCAATCTGAAAGAAGGTTCTGTATGTGTCCCGGTGCACATTCACCGCTTTCTCACCTGGCACTACCAGTAGAACACTGTTGGCACAAAGTGCATCTCAGCCGTCCAGACTCCTCAAATGCCACAAAACACAGTTCTCTTTAAGCCAGAGTCTTAAGCCATGAAAAGCTAGCAACTCTTGACCTGTTCAAAGTAGTAGGAAATAAACTTGTCAAACTCGCACTTGTCTATGTTATATAGTTATATATATATATATGTTTTTCTTTTGCCCAGATGCGGAGATTGGCAATGAATCAGCTTCACTGCCAATCCTGAGACCGCCAAGTGGATCGAGAAAGAAACAAAACACGCAGGAATGAGATCACACTATTTAATGCATCTGTTTGCCGGGTTCCGATTGACTTTGATATTCCAGCTGTGGTGGTGTTCTCTTTTAGACTTCTTCCACCAATGATAGCTGTGGTCCCTAATTCTCATAGCCATCATCCGATGACCGATTCGGAGAAATGGTTTGCAGTCCTCGAGTCCATGATTGAAATAAGACATCCGGGATATCGCGCTCTACTCGACTGGCCAGGCACTGAACTCATGAGCTTCGCGCTTTAAGGCGGCCATCTCTGTGAGTTCCTGTCGGAATGACGGCAACGGAAGGGAGGCGACCGGTTGCGGAGCATGAGACTCGACCCCTGCAGCGGCGGGTGAGAGATCAACAAAAAATATTTAACGTATCAATTAAAAAATATTCTACACGCATCAATAAAAAATATTTACTGACTCCAAAAAATAATATTCCAAATAGCAGTAGCAGTAAGAGTAGCAACAGTACTATAATAGCAGCAGTATCGTAGTGGTAATCGTAGTGTTTCGTGGCCTTGGAGTGCAGATTTCGTGGCAGGCGCAGGAGTTTTTGATGTGGATGTGGAAGTGTAGAGTTGGTGGCAGGTGCAGGACTTTGTGGGCCTTGGAGTGCAGATTTCGTGGCAAGCGCAAGACTTTGTGGACCTTGAAGTGCAGATTTCGTGGCAGGTGCAGGACTGTGTGGATGTGGAAGTGCAGAGTCGGTGGCAGGTGCAGGACTTTGTGGGCCTTGGAGTGCAGATTTCGTGATGTGGAAGCAGATTTCGTGGCAGGCGCAGGAGTTTTTGATGTGGAAGTGCAGAGTTGGTGGCAGGTGCAGGGCTTTGTGGGCCTTGGAGTGCAGAGTCGGTGGCAGGCGCAAGACTTTGTGGACCTTGAAGTGCGGATTTCGTGGCAGGTGTAGTACTTTTGTGGATGTTGAACTGCAGATAGACAGATAGAAAGATAGATAGATAGATAGAGGGATAGAGGAGGCATATTTGCTTGGATAAAAATTTTTGCACCGGGGAGTTCACCTTAAAATATTGATTTCGTGGCAGGTGCAGGACTGTGTGGATGTGGAAGTGCAGAGTTGGTGGCCAGGAGCTTTTTATGTGGAAGTGTAGAGTTGGTGGCAGGTGCAGGACTTTGTGGGCCTT